TTATAACACCATCTAAATGAAAGTTACCTGATCTTGGCATTGCCTTTTAAAAAGCATATTTTGGTTCTATTTGGTTATATCTCTGACATTTTACATTTCAAATATCTCTAATTGAATCCTTATTATATATGTCTGTTTTATTTAGTTCTTTTTTGATTCCTTAAGTTGTAAAACTAGATGGTTGTTCTGAAATCTTTCTTATTTGTTAGTAAGTGTTTGTAGCTATAAACGTCCTCCTTAGAACTTATTTTACTGTGTGGTAAGTTGTGATGTGTTGTTCACTGTCATCTCTAGGTTGTTTCTGATTTACCCAGTGATTTGTTCTTTAACCCACTGATTTTGTACTTACCTACTTTTCCTTGTTATTGAGTTCTAATTTAATTTTCTTTTGGTAAAAAAATAGTTTTTATTATCTAAATCTTTTAAGAATTATTGATAAATATTTGATTTGTGGCCTAGTTTATGCTTTTTTTCTGGAAAACATCCCATGTTTACTTGAAGATTATGTATTCTGCATGTTAAAGCTATTTGAATTTATGCCCTCTGTTTTCTTATTGTCTTTTGCATGGTTGTTATATTTATTGATTATTGAATTGGTATGGAGGGAGAATTTGAAAGGATGAAGCTATAGACTTAGAGAAACTGTAATGCTGTAAACAGAGTTCAGCAGGTCTTTTGATGGCACCTTAGAAGACCAAAATATGGAGGGAATTTAGACAGTGGATTCTGGTATATGAGGCTGTGGAGGGGGATAAGGGCTATTTGAGGACTCACCTAGAAGCTATTATTACATTCTAACAAAGGGTTTGTCTGCATTATGCCCATGGCCTAAACATTTGAATGAGAATAAGCCTGAAAATAATGGACTGAATCATTTGGTTAAGTAAATATTAAGACTTCATTGCATACAAGCTATGTTGTGGTTACCACTCACTGCTTTTAGGTAGTTCTGCAGTGAGAGAGAGCAGAAAGATATGAAAAAAATGTGTGGTTTGGTAAAGAAAAGGACCATGAGTGAATTTAATTTGCAGATAAGGGATTACAGGAAGAGCAGCTGTAGTCTTTTTTTTTTTTTTTTTTTTTTTTTTTTTTTTTTTTATTGCTGTTAAGGACTGGAGAGATAGCTCAGAAGTTGAGAGCACTGGCTGCTCTTCAGAAGTCCCGAGTTCAGTCACCATCAACCACATGGTAGCTCACAACCATCTGTGATGCAGTCTGATGCCCTCTCCTGGATAGCAGGCAGAACACTGTATACAAAATAAGTATGCATCATTTGTTTAATTATCTAAAGATGTGTTGCTATTTCACCTTGCTTGCCTAAGGCACCTGATTGGTCTAATAAAAAACCAAATGAGCAGTAGCCAGGAAGTAGAAGGATAGGCAAGGCTGATGGGCAGAGAGAATAAATAGGAGAAGTCTAGGCTCCAGTAGAATGAGAGGAAGGAGAGGAGAGAATGGGGGAAAAAGAGAGGGGAATGCCTGAGGCCAGCAGGCATCTGGCAACCAGCAGACTGAGTACGACATACAAAAATAAAGATAAAAAGCCCCATGGCAAAGGGTAGGTAAAGAGAAACAGGTTTAATTTACATTAAAAAGCTAGCCAGAAATAAGCCTAAACTAGTCCAAACATTCATAACTAATAATATGTCTCCGTGTCATGATTTGGGAGCTGGTTGGTGGCCCCAAAGAAAAGGTCTGGTACACTAAGAAATGTCTTTATGAGTTGAATTCTCTGCAAGGAGCCTCTGATAGGCTATTGCCTGAAGAAGCTATGATGGTGAAGCCCAAGTTGTCTTAGAGTCTTCACCAATGATGAAAAAGGATTCCTTTTTCCCCTCAACCATGCCAGCATTTTTTTTTTTTTTTTTTTTTTTTTTTTTACAATAGCCATTCTTACTCCGGAGAGATGAATTTTCAAAGTGGATTTGTGTTTCCTTGATGGCTGAGGTTGTTGAACACTTTAAAAATACTTATAGCATTTTCTATTTCTTCTTTTGAGAAGTATCTATCTGGTCACTTTACTGACCTGGCAGTTTTGTTTTAGGGAGTTTGTTTTTTGAAGTTCTTTACTTAATCTAGATATTAATACCTTGTCTAAAGTGTAGCTGGCAAAGATTTCTCTCCTATTCCATAGGTTGTCTCTTCGCTCTGGACCTCCCTTTTTAATATGCAGAAGCCTTTCCATTTTTTTAAACCCATTTGTGAATTCTTGAGTCATGTAGGTTCTGTTATCAAGATTCTTATGTATATCTATATCACATGTTTTCCTTTCGTAGCTTCGGCTTTTTAGGTTTTAAATTAAGCCTTTTAATCTAGTTTCATTGTTACAAGCAGTTTCCCACCAACCTGGTCCCAGACTTTCATCAGCCCCAAATAGCACACAGAGATGCTGTATTAGATATAAAATTGTTGACCTATTACTAGCATTTCCTATTGGCTAGCTCTGTCTAAATATTAACCCTTTGCTCTTAATATAAATGTTTCCACATGGTCTTATCTTACCAGAGAGAGGGTCTGAACCTCTTTCCTCAATTCCCTACATCTTGACTCCTCTCTACTACGTCTCCCAGAATCCTCCTTGTCTCCTAGTCCTGCCTATCTTGCCTTCCTATTTGCCAACAGTGCTTTATTTATTAACCAATAAGAAAAACATATTTACAGAATGACATCTCTCATCATTTCATCTTACTTTTGTGCAGGATAAAAGATAATAGACCTACTTTAGCAGCTTTGCATAGCCTCTTCTTGGGGCCTTATCCAAAAAGTTGTTATCTATATGAATTTCTTGAACACTTCTCTTATGCTTTCTTGCAGTAAGTAGTTTTGTAACTTAAAGTCATAAATTTAAGTATTTGGTCCATTTAGAGTTGATTTTTGCAGACAGTGGAAGATGGGTGTAGCTTCATTCTTCTGTATATGGATTTTGTTTTCCCAGCATTATGTATTAGAGAAACTACTATTTTCCAGTGTGTACTTTGACACCTTTGTTGAAAATGATTTGGCTTTAGATGTTAAGGATTAATTTCTGTGCTGTTTCATGGCCACGTATCCATTTTTGTGGGAGTATCATGTTTTGTTTACTGTATAGTCCTGTACTATCATAAGATCAGGTAGTCACATTTCCACAGCTTTGTTTTATTCAAGATTGATTAGCCAATGGGTGTCCTTTTTGCTTCATGCGAATTTTAGATTTTTTTCCTCCTATATGAAGAATGTCATTGGCATTTTGCTAAGTATTATATTACACCTATAAATTGCTTTGTTTGGTATGGATATTTTAGCAATATTGGCTTGTCCAGTCCAAGGATACAGGAGATCTTTTCACTTTTCAATGTCCTGCTTTTTTCTTCATCAGTATTTTGTAGTTTTTAATTGTAGAGATCATTCAACTTCCTAGATATTGTTGAATATATCACTAGATATTGTATTCTGGCTTCCATGAATAGGCTTTTTTATTGATTTTGTGGTCAGCAAGTTTTTTGTCTGTTGATTTTTGTATATATAATCTGATTTTTTTTGTCTGTAAATTTAGTAAATGTATCAGTTCTAACAAATTTTGTTTTAGAAGAAAATTTCTTGGTTTTCTACATATAAAAACATGCCGTCTCCTAATGAGTAACCTCTGAATTCCATGTTACTTGTTTTACAAAGCCTTTTGGTCTTTTTACTGGATAATAGTTCCAATCCTATGTTGAATAATAGTATGAAAATGGACTTTATCTCATTTGTGATCTCTCAGTAAAATATTTATCTTTTCTTCATTCAGGATATTTGCTGTGGGTTATAATGTGTAACTTAAATTTTTAATTAATTGGGGATTAAATGTTTTGTTTTACCATGAAAGGATGTTGATTTTTTACTAAATACTTCACCTGTAAAAACGGTCATATGGCTTTTGGCTTTGATGTGATATATCACACAGATGGAATCTCTGAGGCTTTAGTATTTTTATTTGTTTTCATTGTGATTCAAAGGTGATCTAAACTGCCTCTGTTGTTGTGAGAACTACATGGATTGCTTATACTGCCTCTTATATGTTGTTTCAGATATTTATAAAGAATTGTAGGATTTCTCTGGCTGTATATGCACCAGTATCCACTTCCTCCTGCCCCTCTAAAGGGCTTCTGGAGATATTATGGTTCCAAGACAAGGTGACCTGCCCAAGGCTGTTGAGGTTCTAGGGAATGGTTATCTCTTTCTTTTGTTTAATTGATTTTTATGAATTATTAGTAGTAACTTAATTTTGTTCTATTTTCTTTGGAATGAGGTGTTAAAAACTTCAATATTTTACTTTAAAATTGTGTAACTTAAAAAGTATATTTTGCTATGAACTTCTAGACTTACTGCATTTTTGACCCACATGTGATAGTTGTAAAAAATCAGATACTTAGAATTTATACTGACAGTGTGACCCAAAGGTCATTACAAAATGATGGATTTCATATGTGCTATTTGATAAAGAACATACTCTTTTATTGTTGTTATATGTGATATATCTCTGTTATTCTGTCTTGTGAGTTTTACTACTTAGACCCTTTCTACCTTTTGATGTGTTTTTGTTTCATCTATTTTAGTAGAGTGAGACATTATTGAACTTTCTTCTCTCATTTATACTTTCTAAATACTCTAAATATTAAACTCATGGAGAACAAAAAGCTTTGTCTTAGTCTTAGTCTTAAGTCTTATGCATTCTTGCCTTGGTGTAGTTGTCAACCTACCCACCACATTCATATTACAAGACAGAATATACTTTAGTTTACTGTGTCTGTCATAACGCTGGGTGGATTTTCTATAACTTCAAAGTACATAGCATATTTTTTCCTAAAACAATGATAGTCTATTTCAAAGTAACAGACTTTTCTGCAAAAGTAAACTTCTGTTGATGTTTAAAGCTTTGTATTCCCTCTTTGTATTTAAAGAGGGAAAAAAAATCTATAAAAAGCAAAATATCCCTTAAGTATCTGCATTGACTTACAAATATGGATGTTTCTGTTTCTCAGACATTGAAACTGTCTCTGAGAAGGAGCTGTCTCAGTTGTCTCAGATTCAACCATTAATATTCAACTATTCTTCACAATCTGCCATGAAGGATTGTTTGAAAACGCTCCAGAAAAAAGAAGAATATGATATCATCCGTGAGTTTTTGGTAAATATGTTGGTCTAAAGAAAAGTTTATAATTTTCTTTCTATACCACAACCGAAAGTTTTCTTTGCTTTTTAATTCCTTGTTTATTAAATGCATTGCTTGTATTTTTAAATGCTACATTTTTAAAATAATAGATATACATGGTTAAATATCAACTAGCATTAAAAGCTATAAAACATGTAGATACGCTTCCTTTCTCTCCCTCCTCCCCTGTTTCCCTCTAGGGTCTCCTTTAATTATTAGGTTTGTTGTTGTAAACTTGAAGTGTTAGTATGTTTGTTATTCACAAGTCTATCTCCTTAAAGAAATTTTTCTATGACATACAATTTTTTTTCATGTTTCCAGTATATATAGCTGAACCTTTGAGTTAATTACATGGCAAATATCTTCATTTTATGTGTTCCTGGACATTTAGATTGTTCTACCCTGCTTTTTAAACATCAATCATCCTTCTATGTATATTATACATGTGTCTTTTTTAAGAACAAATTTCTAGAAAAACACTATTTTGGCCTGTCAAATTTATCCATCATGTCTTTTTGTTGATGATCTGTCATTTCTTTGTTCTGAGATACAGAATCATTTTCCATGTTTTTAAGTATTGTGTTCTTTACCCAAAATTTTACTTATTACTCTTCTTGTTAATTACTCTTCACATAATGAAGAAGTTATCCATGTTGTGTGTCTTGTGTATAGTATGTTTATACACACAAGTATGAACTCATGTACCTGTTTATCATGAAGGATAAACTTTAGTACTGAAATTTGGTGACCAAAGAACTTATGGAGTGTTACATATTTTAGTAATATTTATTTCAGTCTAAGAATATGTGTCTTCAGGAACAAATTAGAGGCTATCACTAATACTATTGTTTCTGGAAGTCACATATTTGATTAAATATTCTTTATTCAATGCTTAAGGCTGGGAAAATTTTCTAGTTTGTTTTGTATCCTAATATCTAGAACTAAATGCTTGATAAATTTTGGTGAATTCACATTTGTTTAAGAATTTCTTTTGAGAAGAAGAAAATTCTTTAGTCAGTACTCCAGGTGTAATTTCTTCAAGGAGTAAATTTTAAGGTTTCTTATAGCTTTTAAAATGTTTCTGTTATAGTTATTTTGTTTATGAATAATAATGTTATGACTAAATCCTAAAACTAGATATTCTATTTCATTTTTTATGAAAGGGTGAACAATAGTGTTCAGGAAGAAAACTGTCTTGAGAATTGAACTATTTCTTATCAAGTGACTCATTGTCATTGATTCATTCTCTTAACTTAGGATACTCTATGCAGTCCTTATTTGATGAGATTCTACTTTCCCTGGTTTGTTAAATAACATTCAGTAGCAGGTCAGACCATGTGAAGTTTAAGGATAATAAATGCTGAACTAATGGAGGTTTACTTCTTTTTAAATAGTTAACTATGTGGCTTTTTTTAAGGAGTTAGAAGAAATGCCTCTGCTTGATGACATCAACTCTGGGAATGAACTACTCAACAAAGACAAAAACAGATACCGAGATATTCTTCCATGTAAGCTGAGAGCATTTTAAATTATTTTCCTGTTAACAGTTGGGAAAAGGTAATAACTGAATTTCTGCATGACAAATTTTGAACTTTATCATGGAGAACTTTTGTAGCTAACACTGGATTACCTGGCCATAGTCTAGGATCTGTGGTATTTCTTCTGACTACTGTCAATTTACACAGCCCTTTAGCCTTGAATACTATTTAAAACAAAGACTGTTTTTTAGGCTACCATGTATTACCTGGTAGCCTAAGCCTGCCTACCTGCCTTGGTAGTTTGTCCCTGGCTATTTATATCCTCTGCCCTAGACATTAATGCTAACTCATCCACCTACTGCCCAACGGGCAGCTGCGTTCTTATTATATCCACGAGGTTCTACCCATTGCTTCCCTCTATTGGGTGGAGGGTAGAACTGTTTCCTCTTCCTCTGTATTTGCTCACACCATTTGCCAGTCTCAACCAACCAAAGAACATAAACAAAATATGATAATGCAGTCTTAATGGAAATTTTATCCTATGATCATCCCTTTCAAAATCAAAATTTTCTAAATCAAATTTAGTATTTTTCTACTAACTTGTCTGTCTACCATTATTAACTTCTATCTTAATATAATCATACACTTTTCAAGTCAGAAAGCTGAGTCACTTGTTATATGCAAAATGTGCTTGGAAATTCTTTCCTTCTACCCCTTTAATAGCTATAGAACCCCCCCCCGCCACTCTTCTTTGTTGACATTGCTGCCAATCTGGACTGAGTGTCTTTCACCTCCCAGCTGGTTTGTCTTCATGTGCCCTTCTCGTACCCATTCACAAGAGCTGCTGAAGAGATTTTCTTACAACATAGGCAGGACACCCAGCTGTCCTCTTCTATGCCCTTCTGTCGCTGCCATGCTGAAGTTCTCCTTGGTGTTTGCCTATATTTACATAGCTTCTTTGTGTTTCTGGAAGTCATTCTTTTTCTTCCCTCCGTATGATTAAAGCTTGAATCTATGCAAGAGCTACCATATCGCGGTTAAATAAGGATCAGGATAAACAAATAGGCCGAATAGATGTTTATTCAGGGAGAAATAACTTACAACCTAGACAGATGAACACCAGGAAATTCAACCCGATCCTCTCCTGTCCGAGTCATGCCAGCAAGAGAGCTTTTCCCGGCTCTCTCTCGAACTCCTTCCACAGGTCACTTCCGCCCATGGCTCCACCCCCAATGGGCGTGGTCAGTGCCACACTACCATCTTTCTCTTCTGTGGTAATCCCTGTCTTCCGAAGCTTGTCAGTTTACCTTTGTTATTTCCCTAGAGCTAGATTTGGTGATTTTTTCCAAGTGTCCTAGTATCTTGTTAGTGAGAACTCTTTCCACTTACCAAATTATACTTTAGTGGCTTTTGCTATTTCTCTAGGTAGATTTGAGGTAGTATAAATCAAAGTGGGACATTGTCTGCCAAGATACAATAGACACCTTCATGCTTAGTTAGCTGATTCAGGCTAAAATAACTTTGATTATAAATCAATGAGTACATTCTCAAGATGGTTAAAATGATGTGTTCTGTTATCTTTTTCAAGACAATATGAAATTAACTGCAAGTATATCTGAAAATCAGGTCAGTAACCCACTATACAACATTTTAGTGGTGTGAACAACTTGTTACTACTCTGAAAGGTCAAGGTATCATATGTTGACTTTTATCCCTACATGTGCAATTACTATTCACGGAGACCAAAAGCCAAAAAGGTTTTTAAAATGACCCTCTCGGGATTATAAGTAAGAAGTTTAGTTTAGGAGTAAGGTGTATAGGTACTCCATCCTGCTTGACTTCTATTCTGGGCACAAAGATTGACAAGGAGGTGTAGAGATACAAACATTTCACTTCAATGATTAAAAATAAGGAAAATTATCCTAAGGTTTTTGCTTTACTTGAACTGTAATTCAACTAAGTTCTATTTTAAAATTTGCTTACTTCATGACACAGTCTAGTCTAATCTGAATGTCAGCCTGTGTAGATGAGAGTCATGAAAGCTCCTTTGCTTCCTTCATCACACATACAGGGGGAGATCCGTTCAGTTAGCCTTCACCTTGCACAGCCTGATGTGCACACATATCATTTAATACAACATATTCTTAAAAATATTGAAACATGAATCAGATTTCAGTTATCACCGAGTATTAATTGTGAATAGTGGCAAATGTAGCAAATGAGTGTTAACTCCTCAGTGTACAGATTACTGTGTCAGTACAAGATGGGCAGCATACCAGGGGCTAACCTGACTTCCTTCAAAATCTGTTTTTTTGTGTAGGAATAGCAAAGCATGTAGTGTGTTGCCCCTTTAGCTCCCAGTGAGAAACCCATATGCCAGTCTACAAACGGGGTAATCAAGAAAGAGCTGACCAACAAAGACAGCAGTCATTAGCAGCAGAGAAAAGAAAAATTGTAATTCTGGGGCAAAATTAGAATTGAACACAAATGTCCTTACAGAATAAATAGCTGACTGGGAGCATGTGATACTGTCACCAAACAAGAGACTCGACTGCTGCACTCAGAGGGACTTGCTGAAGGGTGACTTACCAAAGTGAAAGCAGAAAGTAGTCAGGATGGCCAGTGTGAAGAACACCTGAAAAGGTGCATTACAGGAACTCTAGGATAGTTTCACAGCAATGGAAATAGAGAGGACTAAGTGACAGGAACAAATCCCAATATAGGAAGGAATATGGCAGTCAATACACAAAAAGAGGCTCACCCTGTTATGCAATGAAAGGAAGATGCAAACTCTTTTCAAACTGAAAATGAAGTGCTTTAATTCTCAGTGTTTCTAATGTTTTAGATTAGTGTTCAAAATATATATCAATCTTGCTTTATATATATATATATATATATATATATATATATATATAATTTAAAATCAACAGGGAAGTTTTTAAAGTTTTGACAAAATATTCAAGGGTCATAGAGCAGTCTTACCTTCCTATTGGTTGTGAAGATAGTTTTATAGTTTCAGTTTACATAGTCTTCTTATAGCCTTGTACCATCATGCAAAGCAAGGAAGGCTGTTAAAAAAAAAAAAAACAAAACAAAAAAACAAGGGTTTCCAAGTGGAAACACAAGGTAGCATTTTAACATTTTACAATTTGTAAAGCATTTTAATGTCTGAAGGGGTAGTGGGAACACATTGCATGTCAAGTTTCTGATTCCAGTCTGAATTCTTTTTCTATTACTTGTCTCTGAGTCAAAATATAACTAGGACTAATAATGACAGTGTCTTTGCTTTCTGGATATTATTTATAACAATGTGAGGAGGGCATGGAGATGTTAGTATATGAATTTAAGAATGCCAAACAATAAGGAAAAATACTCTTTCAACAAATAGTCTGGCCAACTGCATATTTATATAACAAAAAACCCCTCTAGTCTTTACCTCATACTTTATATAAAAATGAACCCAAAATAGGTGACAAAACTAAATATAGTAAAAACCATATTTGGGACTGGAGAGATTGCTCAGTTGTTAAGAACTTGTCCTGTTTTTCCATAGCACCCACATCAGATGGCTCACAACTGCCTGTAACTCCAGTTTTAGAGTCTGACATCTTCTTTTGTTCTCTGAACATGTGTGTGTACACGTATACATGTGTACACACACATACCACATGTGACATAGACACACAGTTCCATGTACAAGTACATATAAAATAATAATTTAAATTAAAATCACAAAAGCATATATCTTCTTGGAGAAAAAGCAAGAAAAAAATTAGCAGCATTAGATTTAGTGCAAATTTTCTCAGCAGGACACAAAACTCTGAAACTTCCAAGGGAAAAATAGACTTCATCAAAATTGCTCTTCCAAATATACCATTCTAAAAGCAAAACAGCAAGTAGCAGGTTAGAAGAAAATTAAGTACAAAACATCTACTTGACAAAGGATATACATTTATACTATAGTAAGAATATTTATAACTCAAAGAACAATCCTATAATAAATGAGCGGAAGATTTGAGAAGGCACTTTTGACAGGTGTGGTGTGTATGGACGTCATTAGAAGTAGTTTGCTTTCAGTTGGCAAAGCCAGGAATGCCAGTTCTGTCATAATTTAGTTCAAAGGGCTGTCAACCATCTTTTTCTTCTTTACGGTATCACATAGGTCAACATGGCCAGCAAACAGTAGCAAATGCTCTAGACTTGTTCACAATACATTTTCATATCAGAGAATGGAAAATACAACTAAAAGGAACTTCTGTGGTTGAAATTTCTAGGGGTCCAAGTTTGTAGGACATTTTGAAATACACCCTTCTATGGAAAAGAATAAAATACTCTATCAGACTTTTCTGGCCTAAAAGGAGACACAGTGCCTTGTGCCCCTGGGTGACAGTATAGTCCTTGTTTAGATATGACTGTCCAAGGGAATACTGCTGCCAATGGAGACCTCTGTGAAAGTCCCTGCCACCTGGATTCAGCAGATGGAATGGTCAGTGACAGTGCTCCACAGATTCTTAGAGTTTTGGAACCATGTCCTGCAGTCCCTATGAGAACCACCTTCCTTTGGAGATGCAGGTCTTTAGCCTATTCCACCTTAGCAGAATCTGCGTAGCAGAGAAATAAGTAGAGATGGCTTCTGTCTGAACAGCCACACCATTAAGCTGGGTATACGCAACAGCACTTGATGATCAGAAAGAAATGGTAGATGTGAGATTCCTTTCGAGTAGACCCCTGTCTTAGTTACTTTTCTGTGGCTGTGACAAAGCACTATGACCAAGGCAACTTATAAAAGAAAGCGTTTCATTTGGGTGCTCATGACTCCCGGTGATTAGAGTCCAGGAACATCGTGACAACAGGCAGGCCTCCATGGCACTTGAGCAGTAGCTGAGAATTCATATCTCATCTGTAAGCCTGAGGCAAAGAGAGTGAACTGGGGAGTGATACGAGCTTTTGAAATCTCCAAGTCTACTCAGTGACACACCTCCTCCAATAAGGTCAAACTTTCTAATCCTTCACAAACAGTCCTACCAACAGGAGAACAAACATTGAAATATATGAGCTTATAGGGGTCATCCTCATTCAAACCACCACAACCCTGAAGGCACAAATAAGTTCCATGAAAAAGATTGTCCAAGTATCCATGATCCTCATTCCTGGTGGACTGTTCACTCTGCCTAGCTTGTACTTGTATTCTTATGAGGAGTACCCTATGATCATTGATGGGGAAACAAAGGGTTCTACGTGGTCTGTATGATTTACATAGATCAGCTGTGTGACCTGACAGTAGTACTATCATAGTTTTTTCTTTTCTTTTTTTTTCTGAGACATTCTGAAGTCTAATTGTGAAGGGATATATATTGACTGTAGTTGATGTATGTGGTTGCTCATTTTTCTTGGAGTAATGGTTGGAGGGTAAACTTAGGTGATAGCCAGAGTCTTAACTGGGCAGATGATCAAGGTCTTGGAAGAAATATAATTGAAAATTTAATAACAAAGGAGGTCCAAGGAAAAGGTATGTAGCTAGAGCTTTCTAAATGAGCAAAGCCCACATAGAGCCTGATGTCCCATGTGTATACTATGAAGAGTGACTTCAGCAGAGGACATGGAAATAGGATATTGTTCTATGGGCAGCAGTCATTTTCCCCAGTTACCCCACCATTTTTCAATAGCTCATGGAAAAACAAACAAACAAAAACCAGTCTTATTTAGCAGTGTTGGAGTTTATTCGTGGATTCAGCTTCATAGACTTCTTGCCACTCACCAAGAGCAACCAGGCTGTAGTCATTGCTGAGTATGTGGCACTGAGTCCCTGACATGAAACCATTCCCTGAGGTGGCAGGATATGTTAAGCCACTTCTGTCATGAAAGAAATAGTGATTTTTTTCTTAACAAAAGCTAAATTTACTCTTAATATCTTAATATGGATATGCCTTTCCTGGGCACTGTGCTTTTTCCAAATTTACCATCTACAGAATGCCTTACACACCATCACAGGACACAACACAGAAGAACACTCTTTGTGGCAAATGTCTCCTGGCAAATGGCTTTTTCTATGAGGTCTTTGCCATAGACTCCACCATCCTGGGGAGACTTATTGATATAGTGGTTGAATATTCTTTTGAAAACAATTATAGTGTTAAATAGGTAACATTGCCTTCTGGGACAGTATTCTCTAGTAGAATGTATGTACACACAGTTCCTGCTGTAGCCAGTATTCAGAGATTAAGGGGTGCATACAGGAGCAGCATCATTCACTAACCCATCAGCATAATTATTTGCTTCCTGGACATGTGACTTCTGACTCTGTCTTTTAATGTTGTTTCAAGAATATTTGTATAGGCTCTTTGAGGATTTTGTACATGTTCTCATCATATTCACTCTCCCTCCAGATTCACCTCCTTCCCCCCCCCCACACTTTTGTGTCTCCTTCCCCATAAAGACCAATATGGTCTGTCCAAAAAATCCTTGAATGTATGGGCCTTTTATTGGGGCATGTCCTACTTCTCAGACACTGCACTCTTAGAGAAAGCTCATCCTAGCAGCTATCAGTTTCCAATTGTACCTCAGTGAGGAGTAGAACTCTGTACCCAACTTTCCTCTCCATGCTGGCATTTGATCTGACTTAGACTTTCACAGGTTTTTCTTATGCTATCACAACCACTGTGACTTGCCTGCTGTGTCCAGAAAGCACATTCCTTGTTGTAATCTACTTTCTCTGGCTCTTACATTTTTCAGCACCCTCGTCTGCAATGGTGCCTGAGTTTTTGGAGGGAGGAGTGTAGTCTATAAGTTTCATTTAAGGCTGAATATTCTGTATTATTATCAATTGGGCATTTGCCCAATTGTGGGTCTCTGTATTGATCATTATCTACTATAAATGTAAGCTCCTCTGATGGAAACTGAGAGATACTTTAATATGTGGATATAATGATAGGTCATTAGGAGTTGATTCAATTCTGTGGACTTTTAGCAGCATAACAAGTAGTAGGTTTTCTCCTAGAGTCTATAACTGTGTAGCCATTGTTTCTTGGCCTGGTAACGGTGTTCAGTGTGGGTTTCATCTTGTGGAGTGTATCTTGAAAGTAGTTGTTTACTTCTATGATGTTGTCCTTAAGGACAACTCTCTTCTTTTATGTTATCCCAACTCAAACGATATTTTTCTTTCTGGAAACTTGAGTCTTTCTTGAGAGTCAACAAAACAAGTATTACTTGAGGATTTATGAAGCCCAGGAGAGACTGCATGGGACAAGTAGGACAGGAGTTTGAATTGAGTAATTGTGGTTTGTATCTGTAAGGCAGATTGTGTTAAATTATTTAGTTTAACATATTTAGTCTTCCTTTCCAAAATTAAAAAAATGTTTATATAAAGTACCATTTGGGATGGAGAAATGGCCTATCAGTTAACAGAATGTACTACTCTTGCCCCCATTTGGAAATATTTGATGTTTTTCTATATTTAGCAATAGATTTTCCTATTAAACTTTATAAAAGAATTCTTTATACTATGTTGGAATTCAAGAAGGACTCTGTTAAGAAGCCACAGACCTTGTTTGGTGACCATTAAGCATAGCATAGTTGCTAAATGACTGTTCGTGTCATTCTGAGAAGTATGAAGAGACAGTTGGCTCCTGGTGGTGAGGTTTATTATGGGCCAAATGCCAGTTTTCCTTTCATACTTCCTGGCAGTGCTAGACAAGTCCCATGCTATTTGGAGCCAGTACTTTGAGTACATGTTTGTTTTTTTGTTTTTGTTTTTTGTTTGTTTGTTTTTGCCACATACCTTATATCTCAGGATTTCTATTGCTGTCATGAGACACCATAACCACAGCAACTCTTATAAAGGAAATCTTAATTGGGGTGGCTTACATTTTCAGAGGTTTAGTCCATTATCAGCTTGGTGCTGTGCAGACAGCACATGGTGGTGTGCAGACAGACATGGTGATGGAGAAGGAGCTGAGAATCCTACATCTTGACTTAGAGGCAACAGGAAGTGATGTGAGAAACTAGGCATGGCTTGAGCATATGTGGGACCTCAAAGCCCACCCCCACAGTAACACACTTCCTTCAACAAGGCCATACCTACTCTAGCAAAGCCACATCTTCTAATAGTGCCACTCTCTAAGAGCTTGTGGGAACCAATTACATTCAAACCACTACATGCTTTTTGGATTGGCCCATTACTGCACCCAGGAGAAACTGGGGAAGGATTGTAAAAGATGGCTGTCTGGCTGCAACAAGAGCATTGGTGGAATTCTATTAGTACTAGAATTAGTCTCTGAACCATTATCTTGTCCATTTTTTAAAAACTCTGCTCTCTGCTGCCCTATACTTACAGATTTCCATGATTTTCAGGAGAATGCCATTCACTGTTGCCCATGAAAGCTGCTTCTTTGCTGTATTCAGTTGCATAGTAGCGGGCAGTGGACACGTTTTGGGTCTGACACTATTGTATCTCACAGGTGCTGGATGGTGATGATGGCTCTTGCTCTTAAAATCCTCCTAATTGTATTATTTCTCTAGTCTTACAAATAGGTTTATAGAGGAATAAATTTAAACTTAGCCCTTTTGAAATGAAACTCCTATACTTTTCTTGAGGGGGAAGGTAAAGAAATACATGGGTTTACCTATGTGTAATACTTTTATGAAGTGTGGATGTATTGCATTTCTCACCCTTTCATTATTTTCACAACATGTTTCTGTTTCTTCTTCTATAATAGATGATTCAACACGTGTTCCTCTTGGAAAAAACAAGAACTACATCAATGCTAGTTATATTAGAATAGTAAATTATGAAGAAGAATATTTTTATATTGCTACTCAAGGACCACTGCCAGAAACTATAGAAGACTTTTGGCAAATGGTTATAGAAAATAATTGTAATGTTATTGCTATGATAACCAGAGAGATAGAAGGTGGAGTTATCAAGTGTCACAGTTACTGGCCCATTTCTCTAAAGGAGCCATTGGAATTGAAACACTTCCGCATCCTTCTGGAGAACTGCCAGATAACTCAATATTTCATCATTCGAGTATTTCAAATTGTGAAGAAGTCCGTAAGTCTTAAAATGCTGCTAGGAGATGCATGTTTTATGATATAAAAGCTGGTGTGTTAGGACTAGAATGAAATATATACTAAGGGTATGCTGTGTTTGATTGATATCGCTGGGAGGTCTGCTCTTTTCTGATGGAAAACAGAGGAGCCATGGGTCTGGGGGGATAGGGGAGCAGGAGTTTGGGGAGGGATGGAGGGAGAGGAGGCTGTGGTTGGGATGAAGAATAAACAAAAAGGAAATAAAAGAACCTTTGACAGTGGTGGTGGCGCAGGCCTTTAATCCCAGCATTCAGGAGGCAGAGGTAGGAGGATCTCTGTGAATCTGAGACCTGTCAGGTCTACAGAGAGAGAGTTCCAGGACAGCTAACTCTGTCTAAAAAAAAAAAAAAAAAAAAAAAAGTAACAGTTTAATCTTCTTTTTTTTTTCTAGAAACAAAGCAATAAATTTTCAATTCCGCTTAGGCAAATTTTGGAGAGAAAGAAAATGGAAAGGGAAAATGTAGGGCAGAGGGGTGGGCACTAAATGTTTCTGGTCCTATGATGTGCTTTGATGGCTTCTGTCAAGTATGGCAGCCATGCACTGAGTTTGTCAAGAGTGCTTACCACTGCTGGGTTCTAGTGTTGTGCAGTGAACAATGAGATACCTGTATTCTCTCGGCCTTGAGCTGTCGTGCTAAGTGACAATGCCAAGGTTCACAGTAGTGCTTTGCGAGCTGAGATGGGAAATCCTTATCTGGAGTTATCTGGAGTTTGAGAAAAGGATTACTGAAGGTAACACCACCTCTGGATTGTGAAGGGCCTCAATGAGAAAGAAAGAAAGAAAAAAAAAAACACAATTGAAAAAGGAATTGCCTTGGGTACATGTATAGAGAGATATAAATAAGTTAAATGCCATGGAACATTAATTTGTTCATTATCAAGGAACAAGGAGGGATAAAGTGTGGCTGCAGGGGTAAAGCAAGGAGCAGCTAGAACATGAAAGCCCTCATTTTGCAAAACATCATGGAATTTATGAGCGGTAACTGGGATGCAACACTCGCAGTGGGATTGTTGTTTGTTTTGTTTTTTAAGTAAAATCACCAGACTTACCAGGTGCTTAGGACTTGTGATTTATGACACAAAGAGTGTTTTGAAACCATGCTTGAGCATACATGAGTTTGGCTACTGTGCCAGAATGTGCAAGTCCTTCTGAATGTGTCAGCTGAGTTTTTACTTTTATGTACTTTGAAATCTTTATTTTTCTACAGCCTCATAATATAAAATAAAGGAGGTAGCTTAGGATTTGGAAGGCAAACATTCAAATCCAAGCTCTAAATATGGAAGCCTTGTGGCCTAGCAGATACCTCCCAACCCTCCCAATCTGGCCTCTAAAATGAAGACAAAATAGTACTTTTATCTTAGGATGATACAGGGATTAAATTAGATAACTCATGTGAAGCTCCTGCCACCTTACCTGATGAGGATCAAGTGTTAGGTTGTTGCTTCCTAAGAGCATTCTTATTTTTGTTGTTTTAATTATTGTGTTCTCTTTTTTTAAGTGGAGAAAAGCTAATTCTGGAAATTTCTAGAGTTTCTGTAAACATGAAAATTAGTACTCTGAATGCTCTGCATACCCTTGTGTACTATCTCCACCATCATAGCCATTGTTATTGATACATTAGAAATGGAAATAAGATCTCTAATGTAACCCTCTCTGTCTCTCTAATAGACAGGAATGAGTCACTGTGTAAAACACTTGCAGTTCACCAAATGGCCAGACCATGGCACTCCTGCCTCAGCAGATTTTTTCATAAAGTATGTCCGGTATGTGAGGAAGAGTCACCTTACAGGACCCCTGGTTGTTCACTGCAGTGCTGGCGTAGGCCGAACGGGGGTGTTCATATGTGTGGATGTCGTGTTCTGTGCCATCGAGAAGAACTACTCAGTAAGTGTTTGATGGAGCAGATAAACTGATGCTTTCTCTAAATACAGTTCTTAACAGCCTATTGTTACTGGAAGACTGATCTGGACCAGTATAGCCCATCAGGTGCTCGGTGGCTTAGGAGACATGGGCTTGCTACAGGCTCCTGGGAATGGTGTCGAGGATTAAAGTGTATTATATAAATAATTGGCTAGGATTGTATAGAAATGAATGGATACTCTAAGTATTATTCATTTCTAATGACTTTAGTAGTTTTCTCAGTGAGTTCAATGAAGTATGCTTGCTTCAGGTGAACAAATCTGACATCCATGTGTGTTGAAAAAATGTTCACCTCATAATGAGTGACCTCTAGGCTTAACTGACAATTTTACTATATGCTTTAGATTTGAGTATAAGTTATTCGGCTGTATTAGTTTATATTTTGTCTTGTATTATTTTTAACTGTGTGTATGTGTGTGGAGGAGAGAGATCAGATCCTCCTGGAGCTGGAGTTACAGGCGTGTGCTGAGAATTGAATTCAAGTCCTCTGCAAGAGCAATATGCTCTCTTGAGCATGGAGACATCTCTTCCATCCTCAAAATCAGTTTTCTTAACATAAACTGAGGAGAGACATATACATGGGTATGAACCAAAATATTAGCAACCCCTTACTTTTCTCCTAAACTGATATGTGAAAGACAGAGTTTGACATATGTGATTATTCTATTCTTTGCTGTTCCCTATGTGGATAGAGAATGTGGCTTTAGATGTGTGGCACAATGGCTTACCTCCAACTACTCCATGCTGCAGCTCTAAGGAGGGGAACACATCTCCCTAGTGTGTAGGCACTGCCCATACAGAGTGGGAAAGTCCTTACTTACCTCAGGCACCAGTTAACAGGGTAAGAGCATTTGCCCTGACAGGCATATTCCGCAGTTATCTTCCTGTGGGACGAGGTAAATTACTGAAAGTCTCTGGCTTTGCACAGCCATACTCCCAACAGAGGCATGCCTCGGTGTGGTGGAAAATAGCTGCCATCATTTCAGTGTTTACCCTCAGATGACTTTTGGGAGGAACCAGGAGAAGGTCCTTAGGGAAGGGGTCTTCCTTTTCAAAAGCACATCTCGTATCTACTAGCTTCACTTTTCTGACTGTTAGTCTGTGAACACTGATGGACCAAGCAGACTTAGAGCAGTCACAACTCCTGCAGGCTGGCAAGTTACAATGAGAATGAGAGTTTTCCAAAACAAACTCAGAATATCATTATGAAGGATGAATATAAACTGGCTAGTAAAAAAAAAAAAATGACAAATGTCCTAAAATGCTGACAGCTTAACTCACAGCTAATTTTGTTTTATTCTTTAGCAGTGAGTATGCTGGTATAATGTCTCTAGCATGTGTATTATCAATCATAAGTTCTGAAGTAATTTATGCACATTTACCCTTGTTTCACATTCCTGTAGCAGCTGTAAAATCTATGTATCTTTTGTCAAATCTAAGCAACACTGTTTCTCCTACATAATAGCTTCTTTACACTTAAAATGTATCTTATTGCTAATCTTAAGTTTTTGTTATGGTTTCTATTTCTTAGTGATGCTTTGTCTGAGTTGAGGTTGTAGCTCAGAAGTAGATGCTTGCCTAGCACTTGCAAGGTATGATGTCCAGCACTGAAAAAAATATGATACTGCTATTTGATGAAATACTGTAGCTAAAAATCAGAAATAAAACCATTGTTTCTTGACTTTCCTTAGAACCCCATTCTATCGGGGTTTTTGCTAATGCCATGTCCTACTCACCTGGAACATTATATCCACTAGAGCCTGTTTGTTGTCATTAGAGTGCTGAGTCTGTAGAAGGACTTGGGGTCCTTGGCATGGCCATGGCTCTGTCAACAGCACCCATTTCCTTGGGACTCCAATCACTCAGGGCTTCTTCTGCTCCCTACAGATAGAAAGCCAGGAGAGTATATAACCATTTATGTCTTTTTATTGTTATTTACAATCACTTTAATTTTTAATCCAGTTAGGTTAAAGCCCCTTAAAACATTGAGAGCAAACTAGTTCTTGTCTGGAAGAAACATCCAGTTTGCCAAATATTTTCAGCAAAACGTTTCTTTTCTGTTGTGAGCATGTAGCAACTGTTAACCACCAGCTAATGTAATGAAGAGCATTGTGATGCAATGAGAATAAGCAAAAATTTAACACATTTTCCTTTTTGTAATTTAACGTCTATACAATATTGTCTATACAACATTATCTATACAACAATATTAACCGTTGTCTCATCTGGAAGGTATTAGTTGTTAGTAGAGTAGGACTGGGATGGAGCAGGCTGTTGATTTACCTTCTGATTTAAAGCCTTTAATCTTTTTTGTCATTGCATCTTAAATGCCTGAATTTCATCCTACAGAATATAAGCTGCAAGTCACATTTGTGGTACAGTGCTTTGTTTTTATAACTTAGAACTAGGTGCATTTGCAACAGTGCAAATTCAGCTTGACAAGAGTGAAGCTTTCGCCTGTGGTGTCATGCACCTATCAAACATACACTGAGGAATCACTGGTGGTGTTTATAGACGAATTCACCACCAACAGTGGTGTCACTCCTTATCATTAGCCAGATCCCAAATTTATCAACCTAGAGCATCATTAGAAATAACTATCTTTTGCTATCTGTTTACCAAAATCTCAAAGAAAGAAATCATTAGAGCAGTTTTAACCACTTTTGACGAATATATATGGTTTTTACTGTTAGCGATTCAAATACTACTTTCTAAGAAGTCTGCCAAGCAGTGTTGTGCCCAAATTCTGAACTCCCAAATCACCAAGAGACCCATTCCAATGTAAACACAGAGTCTTTTAGTGTTGTTTAAGGAGCTAACTCCATTAACTTGGGCCCTAAGTCCATTCATCATGGCAGATGGCAGGAGAAGGACCCTGAGGCAGGGGATTTATCGGGCAACATTAAGAGGAATGTCTAGGGATATGTAACAATTTCAGGATTGGTTAACTTCCGAGCTTGGATGACCTGTCTTTGTGTTGATTGGCCAATTGGTTGTTATGGTCTATAGGACCTCCCAGGCTAGTTGCTATGCTCTGCCTATCAACATTGTGCACTTGAACCCTAAAGCACACCCAGAGCCATAAACCCTGCCAGCTAACCTGTGATTGGTTCCTTGCCAAGGAGGGTATCAGACCTCCTAGTAGCTAGGGCAGGAGGGGCAAGGTCAAGCAAGCACATATTGAGTCTTTTCTGTAGCCTGTCATGGCTGCTAAAGCAGAGGGCTGGTCCCTTTAGCAGTAATGTGTGAAATGCTGAATATCTGCTTTTGTTGGCTTTCTAATTTAATACTCTGTAAAATAATCCCTTTGTTTATATATAAATGCTTCATATTATGAATGGCAATTAAATTAATGGTGCCTTTTTTTTGTTAGCCAGCACATCTTTGTAAATAATACAAGTGTGGTTTTAACACACACAAACAATAATTATTATAAATCTCAGTTATATGAGGAGCCTCAGTTCCTGCAGAATTTGCTCGAACTCTTTTAGTTTTCATTTCTTCCTAGTCACATTTTTTGTTGACCACAGTCAAGCTTTGATGCAGAGGGGAGGGGCTTGGTCCTGCCTGTTGGCTCCTCTTGGGAGGTCTTATCCTTTGGTGGAGTGGATGGGGGATGGGTTCGGGGGAGGTGGAGGGAGCAGGAGGAGGGGACTGAGAGGAAACTAAGGTTGGTATGTAAAATGAATAAAAATTTTAAAATAAAATGAGTAAAAAATTTAAAATAAAAAATGGAAAAAAAGTAATTCAGCAAAGCTTCTTTTGCCATCAATAAAGTAAGGCTGAGGACTGCAGATTTATTACCATAATTTTACCTAACACTAAGTTATAATTTAAAATTTTCTAAATAGATAGAAATTTTAACTTTAACGATTTCTCCTTAGTTTTTCTTTTTGTGCTTCATGTTTCAAGTATTAACTCTAGAAACTTAGATTCTGAGGAAACTTTCCACTGTTTTCCAAGAATTCAAGTTTTCTATTTTATACCTACGTCCATAATCCATGTTGGTCATGTAAAGTATTCAGTTAAGATTTATTTTACTTATTTATTTATTTGCTGGGTATGGATAACCAGTAATTCTAAGACCATTGTGAAAAGATATATCTTTATTTAAAGTCATCTGAAGTATTCCAATGGGGCTATTCTTGCTCTGTAGTCTGGTCTATTATCTATGTGTCTTATTTTGCTTCCATTATCAATCTTTGGATCTCTGTAACTATGTAAAATATCTAATATTATGTAGAGTGACTCCTTACCCTTTATTCATACATTTCAGAATTGTCTTAGCCAATTCAGAGTCTGTGTTTTCCAACAAAAGTTTTATGATTAGTTTGTATCTTAGGATTTCTGTTACTGCGATACTGTGGTAAAATGCCATGACCAAAAGCAACTTGAGGAGAAAAGGGGGTTCTTTTCAGCTTATAGTTCCATGTCACACACAGTAAATCACTGGAAGAAATCAGGGCAGAAACTCAAGGCTGGAACCAGATGCAGGAGGAGTGCTGGCTGGGGATGACAATGGACTAGGCCTTCCCACGTCCATCACCAGTCAAGAAAGCACCACACACTTGCCTATGGGCCAGTCTTATGGAGGCATTTGCTCAGTTAAGAGTTCTTCTTGCCATATGACATAAAATTCAGCTTGCTTGATGGGATTGTGGTAAAAATTACTTGAAGTCTACATATGAATTTTTGGGAGAACTGACATCTTTCCTCTATGTAATCAGCAAATCCATGAACGTACTACATACTTCTTCATTTATTAGGTCTTTTTTTTTTTGCATTCTTTTGTAAGTATTACACAGTTTTCTGAATATAGATTCTTTATGTGTTTTGTTATATTTATTCTATTTAATTTTCTTTGAGGAAATTATGCATTTACTATTTTAACTTAGTTTTCACACATTTATTGTAATAAAAATGAAATGTAGAAATGCAAGTGACTTTTCATGTTGATTTCATGTCCTGTGACCTTGTCAAACTTCTTTATTCTGAGAGACTTATATATAGGTTAGTTACTTATCATGCCAGCATGGCCTGTATTAGCATGCCTGTACTGTGCGTGCACCACACTGTCTTTACAGATGAGTTATCTGTGTCTGAGCAGGTCCATGGGCTGTTGAGCTGGTCACTCTTAGCAGGGATCTACCATCAGTGTCCAGTTGCTGAAGAGTCCCTAATTTCTTCAGGCTTCTGGATTCATATCGTTGTGGACTTTGCAGCAGACTTTTGTGATTTGCTGTCAGTGGCCACCTGTTGTGCAGGTGCACCCTACTGTGTTTAAGTTGCCAAAGGTCTCCATTTGAATTGACCAGGCTCTTTATATAGGAAACAGCTATGCCCCTGTGCCCAAGGAAGGTCTTCGGTGAGTGTCCAGAGTTATACTGCTGCTTTCAGTTCTCCCTTTGTTAGCATAAAGGGGGCAATTCTTTTGGGACCATTCTTCCTCATAAATGATGGCTTCCTTCTTCCCCTTGAAAAGCTGACTAAAATAAGTCTTTCTGATTCATTAGGCTGGGCTCTAAAATACATTGTGACAGAAAAGGACCTTTCTAGTTACATCTTGACATTTCATTAGGAAGAGGTATAGAGTACTCACTTGGCAATCTGTGTATTTGTGTTTTTCCACTGTCTGGATAATTCAGTAACCGCCATCTCATTTCAGTTCAACAATCTCATTTCAGTTCAACATTATGAACATAGTGACCCAGATGCGAAGACAGCGTTATGGCATGATCCAAACAAAGGTAGGTGCTCCTCGTATAAATCTAATAAGAGCAGTCAAGACAGAGATGAGCATACTTTACATTTTACAGTTCATAACGCTTTTTACCTTTTTCATCTCATTTATTTCTTACTGTTCCCAGTAGACATTGGTGGAGTTGCTTTGCTCTGATAATCTTGATAAAGTACATTGGAGTCTGTTCCATGGGGTTACTCAGGGAGCAAGGGGAGGAGTTGGCAATGAAACTGAAGTCTTGGGTCTTAACCATAATGGCATGCTGCATAAACAGTGCATCTAATTTTATTACTAAGTTTCTAGACAGTAATTTCAAATGTATTCTTGCTTCTATCTGTCTGTTTTTCTGTCTATCTGTTGGTTATTGGCACATTATAAAAAGGTATTTTTTACATCACAGATTAGTTTGTAATCACCAGGAGAGACAAAGAGAATATTTATAATAAAAACAGTTGCCTCTGAACTAATTTGTATACTATGTATCATATATGTATACTGTATGTATACTATGCATAGAGATATATTTAGTTATATATTTATATAACATTTGTATACATTTGAAATGTGAAAATTACATGAGAGACTTATAGAATTTGATTTAAATTTGCTAAAGAAAATATAAGGGAACAGATGCTGACATTTTCTTTCTGTTTAGATATTTGTCTGTTAAAGAGTCCTAGACCAAGACATTTATTTTAATTATGTTCTTCATATTTAAAATGCACACTTACTTAAAGAAGCTTTCAAGTGTTTGTAGATAAACATTTGTTCTTTGAGGGAAATTTTCTTATGTGACTGAAAAAATTACAGATGTATTCTCTAAAGGAGACATTGGAGACTATTTACTTACCACTGTGTTGTTTGTGTATGTGTGTGTACAGGAGCAGTATCAATTTTGTTATGAAATTGTGCTTGAAGTTCTTCAGACTCTTCTGGCTTTGAGTTAAGAAAGACTCTGCGCCTCTCACTTGAGATTACAAGAAGCTCTGCTGAAGGGTTTGCTGCCCATGCAATTTGCCTTTGATTTTTTTTTCTCAGTCTCCCTGAAGGCAGCATCGCTGGGCATATGATGAGCTCTTTTCACTTGATCCTTCCTGGACAATAGCAAAATACCCTCCCATGTTTTCCAGTGGAACAAAAGTTACATGAAACAACCTCAGTTTAGCTGTTTGGTTTAAGGGATTATAGAGTTCAATAAAAGACTTAAATGTATTCATTAAGATTTTATTTGGAAAGATGGCCAAAGGCCTCAGAAGGTTTCTAAGACTGTACAAGCATTATTCTGGGAGAACTTGGGGCCAATAAACTGCAGGTTCATATCTTGACTTCTCAGGGCATTTTGAAGACATATATATCTGTGTTCTTTAAAGAAGCTATTGTCTATACTACCACCTGGTAATTGAATAACTCAGAATGGATTGACCTTTGATATAAATTTATTTTTGTGTCCTGCCCTTCCATGGTCCCAGAGTGTGCTAGGGATTTCAAGGAAGAGATACATTCCTGGAGCAGTTAGACCCATGTCCTGCTGTCCCAGGAAACACCTTGTGGGTGAATAGAGTCCCTCATTGCCCTCACATGAATACATTGATGAATAACCCCAAACAAAAATACTCCTCCATCTATAAAGTCAGTGGAAATATTTGACAGGCCCAACTAGACTTCTTTCTTATCCTGCCCTAACAGTTAACATACCATTCTGTCAGCTTTATCAGAAGCAAGTATTATGTGGTACTTGCCTCTTATCTTCAACTAACCAATAAACTTGAATATAATGATATTGCTATGTACTTTTGAGACATTTTTAGTTCCTGTTATACTGAATGGCTTTTTTTTAAAACTAAGATCTAAAAAGGAAGTTTTTTGTCTTCTTCTTTCTAATTTCTTTTTTCTTTAGAGGTCCATTAAATCATTTCTTTCCTCTGCAGAAAGTGTTAGATGCTGGACATTGGAACTAGATTTTGGAAAACTAAATTCATAGTTGTGAAAGTGAAAACTTCTTATTCTTTTTGGAAACGTCTAGCCATTATTATATTCATCATATCAGGACTCTGCCTCAGACAATTCTAGTGATTCCTTGGTTAAGGGGTTTTGGTGATCAGTCATTCCTAATTATAAGCCACAAAGCAATTGTTAAGTGTATTTGTACAGTGAATTCAGTAGCGATCAGAGCTGTGAATCATATTGAAAATTCCTAAAATTATAAATCCTAAACTTTTAAGAGGCTTATTGCTTTGGTTAAATGAATACTTGAATTGGTTGAATTAGAATTGATAATTCTTACTTTAAAAATAATTACATGCCATATATTTGACTCAACTCAAGTTGATGATTATAGCTATTTATGTTGTTTATATACATAATAGTCTATGCTGAACAATAATATCATCTTGATTATTGGTTTTTAATATTTGTATTTTCATTCTGTTACTATAAAAAGCATAATATAGAACAGTGTTCCCAAGATGGACTATATGTTGTTATTAAATGAACATCTTTACTATGTATTGCCTGAAGTATTTTTATTTATCAGGATCTTGTGATTTCTTTTGTGGAAACATTCCCCATGTCTTGATGAACATACCCCCTTTTTAATTCATGTCATATTTTTTACAGCTGGACTGTTTGAGTTTTCCAGGGAATTTAAGTAAGTAAACATGGAAGTACTGATTGCATTTGTTTTCATTTCATTCTTGAAGGTGAACTTCAAGATAAAATATTGGGATTAATTGAAACCCTAACTTGAGTCAGTTTCCACCTAGGATGTGAATATTCAACTCACATTGGCACCTTTGTGAGGATGTGAAAGCTGATTTAAAGAGAGTTTCTGAATATTTACATATAAGCATGATATTTATTAACTTTCAACTTCAAATAAATATTTTAATGATGCTTACATATTAGACCAAGGCTTTTCAGAAGTAAGTACTACATATTTTATCCTGACACTGGTTTTACTAACTTATTTTTCTTTCAATCTTTTCACCCTCAGTCTCTCTGTAACATTCAACTTCCAGTGAAATTTACATTTATGACTCATAAGCCCATTTCAATGATTTATTTTATTGAAAAATCTCGAAGGAAAACACCTTGAAAAACTTAAAATGAAATTTCCATTTCCTACTTAGTTTTTCTAAGCCTTAGAAAGACTTAATTTACTTCTGTGTTGTCTTGAGATTTGAAAAACTGAAGGAGAAGAGTTGGAATGTGTCCATTCGGCAAAAAAATAGTCAGTGGACTTGGGAGGGAAGATGGATGTCTCACAGCACTCAGTCTGTAGCCATGATCCAAAAGTAGGAGTAATGACTTCATTATGAAATAGCCTGAAGTGAAGGGTACTGTAAAAGCTATCCAGTACAACTATCTTCGCTGAAAGTTGAACATGATAAAGAACAGTTTTAGAAAAATCACGTTACATTGGGGGTAAAAAATAGAACCCATTGACAAAGCCATCAGCAGTATCAGCTGGTGATAATGTAAGAATACAAACTACAATCACTGCTGTTAATATTGGACAATTAAAACAAAATGACTTGTTTGCCTTCATGAAAATAATAGTTTACTGAAAATTATATTGGAAAATATATTACAAAGTCAGAATTCAAGGTACCTTGGTAAAATTTAATCTTTCTCTATGGCTATTCAGCTGTATTTAGGTAGCACACCATAGCCTGCTTTTATTTGTAATGTTGTAGGCTCAATCACTTAAAAATTATAATCTACAGCTGCTTTTATATTGTAAGAGAAAAGGCTGGGTTATTCATATTACAGGGATCATGTGGTTCAAGTATTATTACCTGGCCCATTTAAAGAGGAGTTTTGCCAACCCCTTTTGTATTACAAACAGGGATATAAACATAAAACAAAAAAGATGTATAAAATATTTTTGTCAGATGTAGACATGGTGGCACATGCTTTAATCTCAGCACTCAGGAGGCAGAGACAGGCAGATATCTGTGAGGCCACAGCCATCCTGGTCTACAGAGTGAGTTCTAGGCTAGCCAAGGCTACACAGTGAGACCCTCTTTCAAAATCTAAAACAATTTAAGATTGAACTTAATAAGAATCGAGCAGTCAATGATCCATGTCCTAGATGACAATAAATTCATTAAAGAGTCAAGATATTTTTTGAAAAAGGAAAGTTAATTGTGATGAAAGAGTAATCAAATTGTGGTGAAAAAGTCAAAGTGATTAAAACACTATGATTTGGGCAGGAGTGTAGCTCAGTGGTAGAGCATTTGCCTAGCACATGCAAGGCCCTGAGTTTGATCCATACACACTAGGAGGAAAAAAGAAAACAAGCAAGCAAGCAAGCAAGCAAGCAAGCAAGCAAGCAAGCAAGCAAGCAAGCAAGCAAGCAATTATGGTGCAGAGATATGGATCAATAGAAGACAATAGAGTTGTCGATTACAGTCATTAAATTCATTAAACTTTTGTTATTTTGTGTGTATGGGTGTGTGTGTTTGGGTGGTGTGTGACACAGTGCATGTGTGTATGGGCGTGTGTGCTTGGGTGGTGCATGCCACAGTCTTGCACGCGGAGGTCAGAGGGCAGCCCTCAGCAGTCAGTTCTTGCCTTCCACTGTGTGTGGCCCAGGCATTGAACTCAGGTTGCCAGCCTTGGCAGCCAGTGCCTATAACTTCTGAGCCACCTCACCACCACACATCATTTATATCTTTAAAAAATGTTATAAAGTTAGTATTTAAAGTCCAGAGCTTAACAATTAAAGCAAATATTGATAGATGTGATGATACTAAAAAAATAGGCAAATATATGCCAATTATAGCAGAATAAACATTATTTTGAAATGTACAGGATATTCTATAAGAATAAATTTTATCAGAAAAATTAAAAAGAATGATATTAATATATAAAATATGTTTATGGCTTACATAAAATAGTTTTCAAAATATTCAGAACATTTACATATTTCATTTTACATTTTTACTTATTTTATGAGGGGGGTAGCACATGTGTCACAGTATGAGTGTGGAGGTTAGAGGACAACTTGTAAAAGAAGTAGGGTTTTGCCTTCCACCATGTGTGTCCCAGAAGTCAAGTTTAGATTATTAGGCTTGGCAGCAAAAGCCCTTAGCCATTGAGTCATCTTGTCAGCCCAATATATATTCATGTATTTCTAAATACCCTGGAAGTCAAAAAGGGAAATTATTATTAGAGAAGCTAAACAATATTTTGGACTAAATGAAAATGAAATTTGTGAGACATAACATAGTTAGGAAGGGCAGTGGCATATTTGGTTTGAGCTCTGCTGTATTTTATACCCATGAGACCTCTATGTTAGCTGTTTTAGAATATTCCCAAGCTGAAAACTCAAGTCTGAGGGGACATTTGCCTTAAAGATGATGCTGAGGTGTGAGAATGGATGAGCTGCCCAAAGACTGTAAGATGTTAACCAAGGATTGAGCACTAGGGAACTCCAGTGTTCTTTAGCACCCTTGGTGGCCTAGCTGCAGAGCCATTGGTTCACTCATGAAATGCACTGTGCGACACTATGCCTTGGGTAACACAGACAGACATTTATCTTCCCCAGGTGGGCAATTGATGACTGTCTTCAGCAGGGTTTCTATGGTGGTGACCACAGAAACTCTTATAAAGGAAAACACTGACAATTTAGTGCATCATCATGGCTGGAAGCAGGCAGAGATGGTGCTGGAAAAGCAGGTGAGAATTCTATTTCTTGACTGGCAGGCAACAGGCAGTGATCTGATATACTGGGTGTTAGCTTGAGCATAGATGAGACCTCAAAGCCCACCCCCCACAGGGACACACTTCCTCCAACAAGGCCAAACTTACTCTAACAAAGCCACAACTCCTAATAGTGCCACTCCCTGTGAGCCTTTGGGGGCCAGTTACAATCAAACTACAACAATGTCTTACCTGGTAACCAATGAGTTTATTGGGGTTATTTTCAGGAGTATGAGTATGGGATTTTTTTTATAGGAGTGCAATCTACTCAAAGGCAGCTGTACTATCCAAAGTCCACCCTAGCATGGGTGAAAGCTGGTAC